CTCCACACTTTGAGAGGCCAAGGCAAGAGGATGGTTGGAGGCCAGGAGGTCAAGACCAGCCTGGACAATGTGGCAAGACCTTATCTCTACAAAAAGTAGAAAAATTAGTTGGACATGGTGTTAGGTTCCTGTTGTCCTATCTACTCAGGAGACTGAGACAGGGGAATCACTTAAGCCCAGGAGTTGGAGCTATGGTGATGCCACTGCACCCAGCCTGGGTGACAGAGTGAAACCTGTCTCCAAAAAAAAAGAGCCCTAGGGTTGAAATCCAATATGAACCCTATAGCTGACGGGGCACTCCCCAGAGCAGTGGTTCTCAACCTTCCTAATGCCGCGATGTATTTTCATTGTTACAAAGGGATTGCAACCCACAGGTTCAGAACTGCTGCCCCAGAGGTTCCTGGCTCCATAGAAATAAAGTGGCTCACGGGGTGGGAGGAGGAAGGAATACAGCCTAGGAGAAGATACCCTGGCCTGGCATCAGAGCAGGTGAGTCACAGGAACTGAGACAGACCTGAGAGTGAGCAACAGATGACTGATGTCATGTACATGGACAGCAACGAACAAGTTCCTGGCAAGTAATAAATGAATGAAGAAATGTCTGCTCAAATCTTCTGCTGAATTTTTGTATTGAGTGATTTGTTTCCTAACTGTTGAGTTGTGGGAGTACTTTGTATATATTCTGGATACAACTCCAGGGTTAGATAGGTGATTTGCAAATATTTTCTTCCAGTCACTATTTTATCTTTTGATTTTTTTTTTTTTTTAGTCCCAATTGTGTTGATTGTGTGGGAAGAACTCAGTATCACATGTGTCATACAGTGAGGGAGGCAAATACAGGACTGCTATTTCTTTTCCCTTCCCTCCCCTCCTCTTCTCTCCTCTCCTTTCTCCTCTTTCCTTTTATTTTTTTTTATTAAATGATAGCTGTGTACATTAATGCAATCATAGGGTACAGTGTGGTGTTCTTATATACAATTTGAAATATTTTCATCAAACTGGTTAACATAGACTTTATGTCAATTTTCATAGTTATTGTGTTAAGATATTTATACTCTACTTATAGAAAGATTCACTTGTACCCTTGTAAAACAAACCATAGAGGTGATCCTTCCAATCACCCTCCCTCCACCTGTCCACCCCTCTCACCTCTCCTCTTTCCTTTTAAGCAGAATTGCACTCTGTTGCCCAAACCAGAGTGCCATGGCGTCAGCCTAGCTCAAAGCAATCTCAAATTCCTGGGTTTAAGGGCTCCTCCTGCCTCAGCCTCCCCAGTAGCCTGGACCACAGGTGCACCTCCAGTCCCCACTGTGGGACGCCCACTCTTTTATGTTTAGTAGAGACACGTCTAGCTTTGCTCAGGCTGGTCTTGAACTCCTGAGCTTAAGGGATCTTCCTGCCTAGGCTTCCCAGAGTGCTAGGATTATAAGCCTGAGCCACCCCACCGCAGTACTACTTTGTTAAAAAATATGTTATTATCAGTTGTTACTTCACTTTCCTGGCGCCTGTAGCTCAGAGGTTAGGGCACCAGTCACATGCTCCCAGGGCTGGTGGTTTCAGTTCAGCTCGGGCCTGATAAACAAATAAACAAACAAAAATAGGCGGGCACGTTGTGATGGGTGCCTGTAGTCCCAACCACTAGAGAGGCTGAGGCAAGAGAATCGCTTGAGCCCAAAGTTTGAGGTCACTATGAGCTATGATGCCACAGCACTCTACCAAGGGTGACAAAGTGAGACTCTGTGCCTGTAGCTCAAAGGAGTAGGGTGCCGGCCCCATATGCCAGAGGTGGAGGGTTCAAACCCAGCCCCAGCCAAAAACTGCAAAAAAAAAAAAAAAGACAAATATTGCATCTCACTTACAGGTGGAATATAAAAAAGTCAAACTCATAGAAATGGAGAGTGGAGGGTTGGTTACGAGAGGCTGGGGAATGGGAGAATTGGGGAATGTTGATCAAAAGGTACAAACTTTGACTAATAAGTTCTGGAGACCTAATATATGCATGGTGACTATAGTAAATTATAATGTATCATAGACTTAAAATTTACTGAGAGTAGATCTTAAGTGTTCTTATCACACCAAAAAAATGGTAATCATTTTCTAATGTATATATACATGAAAGAATCACATTGTACACCATAAATATGCATGTTTTATTTGTCAATCAGACCTCAAGAAAGTTGGAAATGAACCAAGAGAGAGTTGTATGGTTTTAGGTCTGATATTTAAGTCATTGATCCAGTGGGGCTTTTTTTGTTTGTTTGTTTGTTTGTTTGAGACGGAGCCTCAAGCTGTCACCCTGGGTAGGGTGCTGTGGCATCACAGCTCACAACAACCTCCAACTCCTAGGCTCAAGCAAGTCTCCTGCCTCCGCCTCCCAAGTAGCTGGGACCACAGGCACCCACCACAATGGCTGGCTATTTTTTGGTTGCAGCCATCCTTATTGTTTGGCAGGCCCAGGCTGGATTCGAACCTGCCACCTCAGGTGTATGTGGCTGGCACCTTAGCCACTTGAGCCACAGGCACTGAGCCTAAAGTTTTTTTTGTGTGTTTTACATATGTCTATCATCCTTTTATTTTTTGAGACAGGGTCTAGCTATGTTGTCCAGGCTGGAGTATATTGGCTAGTCACAGACATGATCTGGGCACACTTCAGCCTTGAACTCTAGGGCTCTAGTGATACTCCTGCCTTAGCCTCCTGAGTAGCTAGGACTGCAGGCAGGTACTACCACACCCAGCTCTGTCATCCACTTTGAGTTTTTTTTCTTTTTATTTCTTTTAAAAATTTTTCTTCTTTTTTATGTTCCTTGAGTCATAAAATTTTAATATATTTAGCTAGCAATGGCATTGATCCTTGAGTGTGGACTTTTGACTGAATCCACATTTTACAGAACAGATGCGTTTAATAAAGAGATTTGTTCTGTGAAGTTTAGCTTCCATCAAGGGGTCACATTTGGGGATCTGGAGGGCCACATGTGGCTTGGAGGCTGCAGGTTCCTCACCCCTAGTAGGATGAGAATATCTCAAGTCATTAAGTCTGGTTCCTTTTTCCTTACAGTTCTTCCTTCAATTTATCTCTTTCTTTCTCCATTTTGCTAGAAGCAGCACGGTGAAATCCGGACGTGCCTTCAACACCTTACTTCAAAAGCGCCTCAGCTAAATGTACAATTTCCTCATTTACAAGTTCTGCTTCCCACATGACTGCAGGACATAATTCTGCTCGGCTTCTTGCTTCTATGCGACAAGAACCCTCTTTCTCCCAGTTTCCAGTGACATGTTCCTTACTTCCTTGTGAGCCTTCACCTGCAGCACCTGAATGTTCATATCTCTACCAGCAGTCTTTTCATGATGATTTCATATTCTCTCTCACCATGCTCCTCACATTTCTCTGGGCCCTTACTGACAGAGTCTATGACACCCACATTTCTGCCAGGTGCGGTGGCTCATGCCTATACTCCTAGCATTCTGGGAGGCTTAGGCAGGTGGATCACTTGAGCTTAGGAGCTCTTGACCACCCTGAGCCAGAGTGAGACCCCGTCTGTAAAAGTAGACAGGTGCTGTGGTGGGCACCTATAGTTCCAGCTACTTGAGAGGCTAACGCAAGAGGACAGCTTGAGTCCAAGAGTCTGAGGTTGCTGTGAGCTAGGATGCCACAGAAAGTCAGACTCTGTCATACCCCCTCCCAAAAAAAATCCCACCCAGGGCGGCGCCTATGGCCCAGTGAATAGGGCATCGGCCCCATATACTGAGGGTGGCAGGTTCGAACCCAGCCCCAG